CTCTCTCTCTCTCTCTCTCTCTCTCTCTCTCTCTCTCTCTCTCTCTCTCTCTCTCTTTCTCTCTCCCCGTCCCTCCCTCTTTTCTTTTCGAATCTTTCAAGATGAGCTCCGGGATTTGAACGCCCAGTAGTCCGAGCCTCGGCAAGGGTCGGCCTACCGGTAGGCTGAGGCTCGGACGTGATAGCTGGGCCAACTTCTGGTGGTTTAAGATGTGTGTGCCCATTTTGTCCATTTTAGGGCTTTTGAGCATGAGCCTCTTTTTCTTTTTTTTTGTTTTGGACAACAACAACAAGTGTGAGGAACGAGCCCTCACAGGGGCCCTTATCGGGCAAACACATGTTCTGGGCAGCGGCCCCCAGCAAGCCGAGTGCCCGCCCTAAGTGAAGGCAGGCCTGAATATTCATAGAGGCCAAAATTCGACATTTTCATATATGGGTATTCAGGCTGTTACAGCCCGCCAGTTGGTTGAATGGACGCGCGAGCCTCACTAAGCTGCGTCGTACAGTTGGCCCAGGCCTTGGCAGTTGCGCCTGGGCACATACACACAAAGCAGGGCCGATACACCATGAAGTGGCCATCGGCCTATGCAAAAGCAGTACTGTCGACGTACCTACCCCGAGGTCCTGCGCAAATGCAGCAACGGCCCAAGTCCGGAGACTCAGGCCGTGCCCAACTGTAAAGGGCCCAGGCCCTCAACTGTAGTCTCTGGCCTGGGTGCAGGAACTGGGGCCCAACAGGAAGCTACTGGAAGCTTCCAGCCAGGCCACACACAGCGTCCAGGAGGCTTCCACTTCCATATAGGAAGAGAGGCAGCCCAGGCCAGGCATTCTGGCCCCCGCAGGCAATGCGGACACGCTGCTGCGCTGCTGCATTTGATGTTGTGTTGCCGCCAGTGCGCTTGCGGGGCGCGTTGAGGTGAAGTGGGGCGCTGGCAGCCATAGCCGGGCTGCTGGTCGCTAGGGGATAAGAGGGCCATCTGGTGGTCTTCAGGGAAGGAGGCGAGTGTGTGGGTTATCAAGGTCTGATGAGGGTGACCTGGTGCTCGGCTATGGTGTTGACATCATGTACGTTGGTCTTCGAGAGGCGAAGTGAGCCTGTTGGTGTCGCCTGAGGGCTTGAACATTGGTTCATTACTTCATTGTATTTCTCTATTTGGATTTGGATGGATTCTCGGTGCAATTGTGCTCTCTGCTTGTACATGACTACTTGGACATCTGTGTGATTTCGCAACTTGGTTTTCTGTATATCGTTCACACGCATATTCCTTGCACAAGGAAGAATGATCGGTTGATTACAGCACAGAAAGGTGAATTTGAAAACCCGTCCGCGAACAACTCTTAGCTCTTCCTTCTAATCATCATGTACCTAATTAGTAATTCCACTTGCCCCGCTCATGAAGGGCTGCTTAACAAAACTAAGTGCTGTGGACATCTTGATTGCTTAACCAAAAAAATGGCTGCACGATCTCGATTATTATGAGCAAGGCTCACATGACCATGGAAACTGACACTTCTGACGGCCGCAGCCTTGGTCCATTATCAGGAGCCCCCATTCCCCCAGCCCAGTCAGCGTCTGCCTGTGTGTGAGGTGCCGGTCCTTTCATCACCTTTGCCCTCTTCTTATGTGGCTTGGACCTGTAGTGCACCTCTCGAATTGCAGCAGACCCAAAGTACCGGTTGCAATGGACGCAATAGAACTGGCCCAAGCCAGGGAGATCCTCATTGATCGGAAGCCGCTTCTCCTTGGCGCCATTCTCCAGGGCTCTGAGTTCAGCGTGAATCAAATCTACACCTTTGCTGAGGAATCTTGTCCTTTTCGCCGTTTTGTGCAGTGTAGCCTTCCTGTTTCCCTTCTTGTTGTGCGGGCAACGCCCCATCTTGATACACGATCAAGCTCTGTACCCACATGTTTGCCCAGTCCGAGCCTCAGGGTGATGCCCCAGTTTTATCCGGATGATGCCCCAGGGTGGGGGGGGAAGCTGGGGGAGAATTAATGTTATGCCTCCATTTTTTGTCTTGTTTAACTGACCGCCCTCCAGAAGTCACCCCTTGCCACTTTGCCCTTCTTTCATGAGGCCGTATTTAATGTTAATCTCCGAGCGTCATTTCATTTTGTCCCTCTCATTGCTATGCTCTCTTTTACTGAGGCGTCCAAATTAACAGCGTGACGCTGTACCGTTACATTGGTTGCAAAGGGCCCTTCTAACTTCCCGTTGTTGATGGGGCTAAAGAGGCCTAAAAATCTCAAGAAAAGCCATGTCTCGTACCTTCAGTTTTCTCTTTTCTGTTTTTTTTAGGGCACATTATGTCCTCCACGGGCGTAAAGCTTTGGAAATTGCAACATTTCTGAACGTTGTGTGCTACAATTATCTCGTATGATTGTCTTGTAACATTTGGGAACATTAAGGGAACATTTTGGAACATTTTGCGCTATCTCATATGATTGTCTTGTAACTTTTGGTAAACTTGTTTTCCCTATGTTCGGCGATGCTAGTTGTGCAGGATACCGATGACGCCTACTACAAGAAACTCCTCAACGCTTTTCCTCGGGCATTTGTAAGCGTTCCTCTGATTCTGCACTGCATGGTTGAGCAGGTAGGGTAGCAGAAGACCACCAAATTGCTGCTTTGGCATTTTGTAGATATTAGATAATCATAATTGGACATATTGTGTTATATTAGGAATGTGTTTTGGGTCACTGATGGGCCTAGCTCAGTTGGTACACCCCATGAACTGTTGAAAAACACACCCAAGTTCAAATCCAGATGCAATCAAAATAATACTGGATTACCTGGGGCTGGTTAGCTCACCCATGGCTGCCGCCGGTTAGAAGAAAAAAAAAGGAATTTTAAAATTTTATTAAAATTTTAAAAATTTAAATGGATTTTAAACAAGGAAATTCTTGTTTTATAAAGTGAATAACCAGCTCAAGGAGTCTGGATGTCCATGTTCCCCCCCCCTTGGGCTAATGTCCTTGACTTGTATATCCTGGGTGTGGCGGGTAGTTTTTAACTTTCTTTTTTCACGAACTACGTACGCTCATCTTTTTTTTTCTTTTTTAAAGTTTTTTCCCATTGGGCACGCTGCACCTGCTAGAAACTGTCAGTGTCCGGCAATGTGTTTTCTGGATTGACATATAGTTGGAATTTCTCTACCCATCCAGACAACTGGACCCATTCACCGGGCCCAGGGATCCAGATTCAGACTGTCTGGATGCCCATCTGGACGTCTGGACGGTAACCATAATTTCTTTTCTGACACGGATATAGTGGGAACCACAGGTCTGGTCCTTCTAACTGAAGCTTTGGGAAACAGCGAAAACCCAACCTTTACACAGCCAAACTCTTCATTGCAACACACAGTGGACCTCACCGCACCACCTACCAATGTCAAAAAGACAAGAAGTATGTCCAGTGAATCTTTCCAGGCGCTAGCAGGAAATGTGTATGTGCACAAGCCTGTGCACGCACACTGTCTCTTTTCTCTCTTGCGCTCTCTGTGTCACCCATCTCTCGCTTTTTCCCCCACTTCTTCCCCGCTTCTGCCGCTCTTCTCCTCCCTCCCCCTCCCTTCCCTGGCACAAACACCATGTCTTCTCCGTTCTCTCCTTGACCACTGTGACGATGCATGCACAGAAACACTCACACATGCAGAGGTTTCCCATGTCCTCCTTGCCCTCTGACCGGCTTTGCATGCTTAGTCGATCACCTTCAATGCCATATCCTTGCTGGACTGCTTTGCTTGTCCCATAACAGGTGGTACACACACATTGCAGCGTATCTGAACACCAAGACTGTGATAATTTAAAGGCATCGATTGCCGTTGAACAATACATTGCCACATCATTTGCACGACTCGGCTCTGGTGTTAACGACAGCACACTAACACATCAGCAGCCGAAGCAACAGGCAACAGAAGGACAGTCTGAATCTAAAGATCCTTCTCATCAGCAACGCCGCAGTCTGTTGCCGGTACGAACTCTGTCAATGCAGCTCACGAGGAATGAAGCGGCCAAAATTTTGATCACTCGGAGCGCAATGAGCGCAACTGAGCCCGTTATAGGAGGAGGAGGAGGAGGAGATGGACTTGGGGTGACATTACAGGGCCGATTACTGACAAGATTGGCCAACAAACCAAACGTGGACTTGTCACAGACGGGCCACGAGCATGCATCCATAAACGTTAAGCCTCACTCCGAGACAAACAGTGCGAAGGATCAAAGTCCGAACAATGGTGGGACCGAGAAATACGGGCCCAACAAAGTTGAGGTACCAACTGCAATGTCCCATGACGAGAACACGAGGGAGCTTGTGGCTGGCCGAGAAGACGGCAATGTGGTGCTGTCCAGCAAGGTCTCCCCCTCCACTATCCCAGATGCAAAGGAGAAAGGCGGCTCTGACCGGTTGGGACCACGTCGTCAGTCTCTGGTCGCCAAGGGTCAAGGCGAATCGAAAGGTCATCATCCTGGTGCTTTGACTGGAACTGGTGGTCAATTTGGGAACTCAGCTAAGTTAGGAGGTACCGATAAAGGACTATCATCTCACCTTTCCCCACAAACCGATCGTCTGAGTGATGAAACTGCCAGTGAGGATGGGGGCGGGTCCTTAAAGAGTCCCTCGCGTAAAGCGAGTTTGAATGATGCTGCTGCATTCAAGGACTGCTTGCCCCTCAAGGACAAGAATGGAGCTTCGGCACCGGGAAAGGAGGGTGTGTTTGGAGGGAGCAATCGCTATGGTACGCCCAATCTCCACGTGGTTCGAGAGGGAGAGAGCCATGCGGTGGTAGCCCTGGCTCTAGAGGAATGGCAAGGAAGGGGTAGAGACAATGATTACGATTGGCAGTCTTCCCTGAGGGAGATAGCAGGCATTGAGAAGAGAATGAACAACATGTTGTTAATTCCTGGTGCGTAATATCTCCTCCCTACTCGGACTTCATCCTTCTTCCTTTCATTATATCTCCTCCTTTCATCCCAATGGCGTTATCTCTCCTTCCGTTCTCCCATGATCCCTCTCCTCCCTGCTACCTCTAAGGGGGATGAGGTACGCCCATTTGCATGTTTGAAAGAATTCTTGGCAGACAGACAGACGGAAAAAAAAGTAGGACAGTTCTAGGCTTCTAGCACATTCCCATCAGGATACCTCCACGAGATGATCCCCCCTCTCCCCTAAAACCACAATTACCTCCGAGCCTCTTTTTTTGCCGAGGTGGAAAGGAACTGCGCAACCTGAAAGGGCAATGGCCTTGATTTTTATTTTTTTTTAATCAAGACCACCCCCACCAGTGCTAGTGATGCTGATAAGAGCAGACACCACTAGCACCTGGGGAGAGGCTCCATCTATTGGTGGGGAGCATCACCTGCTGGAAAACTGGTTCAGCGTCCCATATACAGATTGAAATTAAAGTATATCCGAAGAACAATGTGGGAGGATCCTGCCAGCATTGATTACCCTGGAGTCCAGGGATTGACTGAGCAGGAAAAAGGGAAAAAAAAAAGAGGGGGGAACCTCTTCGCCCTGAACCTGGCGCCAGATACCTGCTGCTACACACTAGTTCCTCCCTCCCCCTGTCTTTGACTCACATCTGATATTTTTTGGAGGGGCCTTCGACAAGCAACACCCGGGGGGCACCGGGGAGTCTTATCTCAGACTCATCTGGTCCACTGGTCCAGTCTTTTTTTTTTTTTTCTTTTTTTTTTCTTCCAGATATGACAGGAGGAGAGCTACCTCTTCAGCCAAAAAGGACCGCAAGATTACTACATTTTACTGCCAGCAGCTCAACCCTCTACCTCTCCCTAAGTACCCATACATTCCAGCTTGTCTATCCTTGCCCCCAGTGTATACTTTTGTCCATTTAAGACCCATTTCAAACAAATTTCGGCTGATGAAACTGGAGGAAAAAAACATGTCATTACTCCTCCCCCCCCCCATACCACTGAAGATCCACCATTGCCAGCTCAGAAGGGGGGAAGGGATCCAGGAAAGATTCTGGAGATCTCAAGATAGCGCCTGGCTGGACATCAAACCAGTCGTGGAAGATGATCTGATAATCCCTCTTGATGTTCGTCCCATCCTCCTCCCCTCCTGGCCATTCCACATTGAGGTATTGTCATCGACAGAGATTACAGGAAGACAATCTCGGCACCAGGGCAAGTACTAAGGGTAGTCAAAGGGCCTCACTCCACCTCTCGCCAACTGCACAAGGACAAAAATTATGGCGATGTACCTTTCCATTTTCTTGCAGAGGATTCACTCTCATTTAGCACATTTGCTGAGTGGTGGAGCGAGGTGCAAAGTCCTGGCCCGATGCGGAAAGGAGGTGACAACAACGGATTTCTTTTGACACCCTGAGTAGGAGCGGAAATCTTGAAGGTTCTAAAAGAGCAGGCGATTTTCCAGCACAGCAGAGTGATTTCTGTGAACAGCCACAGCTTGAACAGTGAATACCCACTGACCAGTGAAACTTCTGACGACGCAGGCCAGAACTGACCAGCCCCAGGTAATTCAGAGATTTCATCCATCTGATCCCGATAGGACTTGAACTCAGGTCTGCTTAGCAACAGTTAATGGATGTGCCATTCAGGCCCGTTTCTGGGTGCCATGCGATGATTTTTGTTTTCGTTACCTGAGTGGACAAGGCGGAAGGCTGATGCTGGAGTGACCGTAAGGTTACTGCATTTTTTGTACTTGCACGCTATGTCCTCCCCATGAGTACAGCCTCACATAATGTCCTCTCGGTATTCTACATGGAGTGTGAAGTGTGCTTCCTCGTTTGACTTGTCTTCATCCAATCAGAAATTGCAACGCTTCATTCACCACGACGTGGGATGACGAGATTGTCACTCGTGAGCTTCATGATGAGGAGCACCTCCTCTGGTTATTAAAAAAAAAAAAAAAGCTTCATGAAGAGGAGGGTGGCATAGTCGACACCGCATTTTATTTTTGAAATTCGCCGCATAGGGATGCTGGACCAGGTTTCCCAAGGAGGTGCCGGTTTCCCAAGGAGGTGCCTTCTGTATTCGCCGCATTGGTATTCTATGTGTCTGCATCATCCTTCGACACCGAGTTGGCAGTGTATTTGCAAGTGAAGGCTTCGGCCTTCGGTCTCTACTGTCTCGCAGCAGAAGGAAGGGCTTGTGCGTGAAAAAGTTGGCTCTGGCCGTTGGGTGTTATCAATAGAGAGAGAAGGGCTCGATCTCGATCTCGATCTGAGAAGGGGCCGTAGAGTCTGCTCTGGCCGCTGAACGTCATCAATTGAGATTGAGCTGGACTAAGCTCCTGCTGGAGAGGCAGTGTAAATGGAAAAAGGGGGAAGGGGGAAGGGGGTAGGGGGAAGGGGACACACGTGGGTGAAGAACAGGGGTCGTTTAAGGGGTGGGCTGTGGTACATAGCTCAGTCCAGTCCGCTCCTTTTTAAACCCCAAGTACACGGCCCCAGCCTTGCAGAAAGTTTTTGTCGCCACAAGCAAAACTCGGAGGGGCTGCCTGGCGTGGGCCACGGTTGAAAAACAAAATCGGCAGCCTCCGAAGTGGTGTGGGTTTCCTGCTGACAACCGCGTGCCGATGTGTGGTGTACTGGTGCTTTAACAGGCAGGCCCTTGCATGGACGTAACACAGTGCAGACCAACAGAAGAAAGACCGAGCAGATGGTTCTCAACTTTTCACATTTTCCACACTTGGTATCTGTAGTGATTGGGAAGCACTTTTGAAGTTTTGATTGTCCACGGCGAAGTAGGCAAAACTTCAAAAGGGAGGGGGGTCTGGCAACAGGGTGAGCAGGTGGCAATGGACAGACGGGCGACTCTCTCTCTCTCTCTCTCTCTCTCTCTCTCTCTCTCTCTCTCTCTCTCTCTCTCTCTCTCTCTCTCTCTCTCTCTCTCTCGGTTCGTGAACTTTCATCGCAGGGCGGGGCGAGCAGACGGCGCTCGGCAGACAGGCGAGGGAACGGGTGAAGATCCTGAACTTTGGAGTTCGTACATTAATATTTCCAATTTTATTAGCCTCTTGGACCACTCCCACAAACCTCTGTGTGTGTGTGTGTGTGTGTGTCATGTGTGCCGTTTTTTTTTTTTTTTTTTACTGGACAACCGGGCACTGGTGCACCCAGCCGGACTGTCCAGGTCCGTATGTCCGTATGTCCAGTTAAATGTCCGGTTTTATCCGGGCACGGGTCCGGTACATGTGTCAGGTTGGGCGGATGTCCGTGTCCAGGGCAACCATGTTCAGGAGTTCAGATCCTGCTGCCACTGCTGGATACAATAATGCTAGTGCAATCAGACTCGCTTTCATTCACACTTCACACGCATGCAAACAGGTTGCGCAGCAAACTGCCGACAAGCGCCCACTCAGAACTCAGAGATATGGTAGCCAAGAACGCAGTTCAGATACAAGTTCACTTCAAATGGCTGTGGCGGCACAGCGCCTGTACAACTCTCTGTTCGTCACTCACTCAACACTGCTGTTTGCACACTGGATCACCCTGGATATCCCACACACAGCACACTGTACACTCACACACTCACACACGCTACTCTCTCCTATCAGCTATGGCGGCTATGGCCGCTACTACCCTATCGCTATGGCTAAGCTTCCTTCTCGCCCACTCCGTCTTTGGGCTCACTGCAGACCACCTCGCACAAGTCGCTGTGGCAGCGCTTCCGCATGGCTTACGCAGGAATGAATGAATGGCTGGGCGCTGCCTCTTGATTTATACTTCTGTATCTCGTTGGTCTGCCCCTTTCCCATGCCCGTGGTGCACACAGTCCCATGCGGCACTTGCGTGACTGGACTAGGGCTGACTGGTACTGGGACTGCTGACTCAGCACGGGTGGACTCCACCACTTGCCCACTTGCCTCAGCCTAAACATGAGCAGCTTCGAAAGGCCACTACTAGGACCTTCCAGAAGGCCGTGGACTTGGCCTTTCGATACTGTAGCAGCTACGACCTTGACCCTTCAGGACTGTAGCAGCTACGACCTTGACCTTTCGGAGGAGCTACAGCTACGACTTCTAGACCTTGCTAAGACTCCTATCCGACAGGTCTACAGATCGAACCGCTATAACCTACAGACCTACGACGACCTACCAACTGGGGAAAGAACACAGGTCGTGGGTTCAACGCCTGGGGTCGACACAGATACTGTACACAGGTAAGGTGAGTCTAGGGATCGAGCCCTGTGATCTGCATCGGCTACTGCGAACAGGTGAATGCCGTTTCACTCCCGCCGGCCTAAATTCGAGGTCCTCCGAGAATAACTCAGTCCAAGGCAGGACTTTTACCTTTCTTATCGCTCTCGTAGGCCCTAACTATGTCGGGAGCTGTTTCTAGCAGTTCTGTTCTGGTAAACCAGCGATCGTCCTCCGGTTCCTTATAAGCAAACCGGACCTGATTCTGTGGACGACCTCTACCTCCTGTTCTGAACACGTCTTCATCTACAATGCCGTCAATGTCGTATCTTCCGTCCATGTCCGGAGGGATCATGGACCTTCTAGATGGAAACTGTTGACTTGTCACACACGGCAACAACTTTGATGCATGGAACACCGGGTAGGTGTGGAGGTGTGTTGGGATCTCTACTGTGTAGGACGACCCATCCTCTCCGCCCTTGACTTCTAGAACTGGCCATGGTCCCCTGTTCTGCGAGATGTTTTCCTCAGTAGCAAACTCTTTGGACTTGACCCAGACTAAGTCGCCTACTTGGAACTGCGATGGGCGACGGTGCTTGTTGGCTTGGTCTATCATTCTATGCTGGCCTCGCCTGAGGTTTTCGACGACTGTAGCTAGCTCTTTCTCGTGCTGTATCGCAAACTCCCTGGTACCGGGCAATAGCTTGTGAATCTGGTCCCGGCTAAGTCCCTCAAACAGTCTACGTGGTCTAAAGGACTTGTGTAATTCGTTGGGAGTGCGACAGGTGGACAAGTGCATGTTGTTATTGTACGCACTGGCTACCTTGGGTAACATCTCGTTTCAATTGACTTGATCTGGTCTAACGTACATATGCAGAACTTGCTGCAGGATCTTGTTCATCTGCTCAGCCTGACCGTTAGTCTCTGGGTGACGGCCAGATGACATCAGCAACTTTGACCCATAAACTCTCATCAGTTCCTGCCAGTTCTGACTCATGAAACAAGTATCTCTATCACTAACTATGGACAATGGGACTCCATGCTCACTAACCCAAAAATCAAAAAACTTCTGAATAACTAAATCGGTGCGTGCCTCTGTAGGCAAAGGAACAAAAACAGCATACTTACTAAATCTATCAACTATGACCATGACTTGGC